GTGTGTGTGTGGAGCGGAGTCATTTTCACGTCTAGGAATATTTGAGTTCTGAGTCCTTGTTTTTACTCACAGTCACTCCTTTCCCTATTCCCCTCTCTCCAGCGTTGTTGTGGCATAATTTACCCACCATAAAAATTGTCCACGTTAAGTATACGATTCAATGACATTTAGTAAATACATAGAGTATTTACATACAGTCCAGTCTGGGAACATTTTCACTATGTTTACCACTCTCTTCATCTTCTTTTCCCAATCTCAGGCTCAAAAGTTTCCCAAACGGGACTAGTGTTAGGAACGTGAAAACACAGACATTATGACCTCCTGCTCCTCCGCGTTCCCAAGATGCTGCTTCTGTCTGCTGCCACTGGGCACGAGGCTACAGTCTTCCTTGGTCTCTCTCTGATCTTCATCCCACCCCCCAGTCAATAAAAGTTCCTACTATGTGCCAGGGGCTCCCCTTTTTGCTTGCGATACAGCATGGAACAGAGAAGCCCTGCCTTCGCAAGGCTCATGTGTCCGCTGGGTGCTCGCAGAGTAGCCATTGCCGATAGGGTGTTCCTGGAAGCCTTTAGAACAGTATTTTTCACCTTTTTTTTTTTTTTTTTTTAATCTCGGAGCACATCTGAATCTGTAGTTAAACTTCTATAGCACCCTTAAATTATGTTGATTCAAAAAAAGAGTTAAGAAAAAGAGCATACTTACTGTGCTTTGAACTTCTTTCTAAATAATTTAATTAGCAATCTTTAAAAATATTCCACAGCACACTTAAGATCCTCTCATGGCACACCAGGGTGCCACAGTGCACTAGTTGAAAATCACTGTTCTAGGGGGAGCTAGGACCTGAGTGACGTGAGAGTGAGCCATGCAGATTTCTGGTTTCTAGTCAGAGGGAACATCAAGGACAAAAGTCCTACACAGAGTCATTCTTGGCATGGTTCAGGAGAAGCAAAGAGGCCTGTGTCATGGGAGAGTGAGCAAGGGGGCAGGCAGGGAGGACATGAGCTCAGTGCCTGGCCATGGAGGTGCTAGTAAGGGCTTTCAATTTATTCTGGGATTAAGTATGTTTGGAGGATTTTGAGCACAGAAATGATATTGTCTGACCATCAGTTTTCTATATATCTATTTATTTATTTATTCGTGACAGAGTCTCACTTTGTCACCCCCTGTAGAGTGCTATGTTGTCACAGCTCACAGCAACCTCAAACTCTTGGGCTTAAGCAATTCTCTTGCCTCAGCCTCCCAAGTAGCTAGGACTACAGGTGCCCACCACAACACCCAGCTACTGGCTTTTTTTTGTTGTTGTAGTTGTTATTGTTGTTTAGCTGGCCTGGGCTGAGTTCAAACCCTCCAGCTTCAGTGCATGCGGCTGGTGCTGTAACCCCTGTGCTACGGGCACCGAGCCATCATTTTAAAAGGATATATCTGGACTCCAAAGCAGTGAATAGATTATGGGGACAAGAATAGCAGCAGAGAGAAATTTGAAGAAGCTGTTCATAACCAAGGTTAGCTTGGACTGGAATTATGGTAGCAAAAGTAGAGAAAAAAGGCTGCCTTTTAGATATGTTTTAGAGATAGAAAATTGATGATAGATAAGATATGAAATATGAGAAAAAGAGGATGATGGGTAACTGTAATGTTTTTGGCCCGAGTAAGTGGATGAAGCGAACTATTAGTGACTAAGAGGGAAAGAGTATGGGAAGAATAGGTGTGTTTGTGTGTTTGGTGGGAAGGAATCGAGAGTTCAGGTGTACACGGCAGGTGTGTGATGCCCACTAGACTGTGACTAGAGATAACAATTAAAAACAAACCCATCAGAAATAGTTACTAATGCGGCCATGTATATTGATAGAAAATTATCACATCTCTGTCTCAGGTTTATAATCTTATCACAAAAGGGATGCCATGGTCAGTTTTCTAGAAAGCAGAGCCTGAGACAAAAGCTTTTTGGGGTTTGTTACTCCAGACTCCTATCTACATACATGGTGGGATTTAAAATTGAAACCACAACTGTTTCATCCCAAACCTATTGTGCATTTTTGATATCACAGGTACAGATACATGCCTGAGGGAAAGACATTTTGTCAGCTACGTGATCCACCAAAATGCTAAATTTTGCTAAACCCAAAATTTATCAATGGGTAGGACTCCTTGGTCTCAACTCATCTTGCTGTGCCACAAATTTTAGCCCCTTTCTCTCCTGCAGCATTCAAGATACAGAGTAAGCAGTGTATGGGAACCACACATGGATTATCCTCAGGAAGTCCCCAGGTGGGTCTGAGCAACCATGGCCAACTTCTCAGATGAAATAAATATGATTAACAGTCTGACTGTCATCTATTTTTTATGGATGAAGTCTTATCAGGTTGTATTCCTTTTTCAATAGACCAACAAAGAAGCTGTGTAACATTGCAAAAGCACCAGAAAATCCCTTCTTTGTTCTGAAAATCTGCCCTCCTATTTTAAAATGTTTCTCATTACAAATAAAGGAAAAAAATATGCTCATTTGTGTCCTAAATGGAATGAGAGTTTTGATTGGATTTACCTCTGGTTTACAAAATTTCTCCTCTTAAAAAGCAATTCAAGTTTTCAAAACAACTTTCTCTCTGAGGTATCTGCTTAGTCACAGGGTGGTTGGTTTCAGTGACCAGAATGCCACGCCTTGTGATTGATATTACTTTGGTCTACTCCCAAAGCCAGTGTAAATTGTGTTTATTGTAGCCTGGGATCTACAGATAATGGAGAACTCCCATCTTTAGATGAAATCAAGGATCTTGATGATGATATCCCCAGACATTGCTAGAATCATATTTTGGAAGGTAATAAAGAGATAGCAGAACCATTTGACCCAGGACTGTCTGTTACATTTTAATCCCCTTCCAATAAAAGGTGACTTCGAGGCTGGGCATGGTGGTGCACATCTGTAATCTTAGCACTCTAGGTGGCTGAGGTGGGAGGATCACTTAAGGTGAGGAATTAGAGACCAGTCTGAGCAAGAGCAAGAGCCCATCTCTACTAAAAACAGAAAAACTTAGCCAGGCATAGTGGCACGCACCTGTGATCCCAGCTACTAGGGAGGCTGAAGCAGAAGGATTGCTTGAGCCCAGGAGTTTGAGTTTGCAGAAAGCTATGATGATGCCACTGTCCTGTAGCCTGGATGACAGAGCAAGACCCTGACTCAAAAGAAAAAAAATATATAAAAGGTAATTAAATCAAATGTTTGATTCCTAAGCAGAGATGTCCTTAATTCTGCCAAATCTACAGGGAGTCTGGGAAGCTCAGTCATTAGTCTGGCATCATCAGTGACTCTGACTTGGTTTTCTTCTATGTAAAATCAGGTCACAACCCAGCGGAGTAGTGTTTAATCATTATTATGTTTATGATGATGCATGTAGAAAGGGAACCAACAACTGGTGAGTGTGACCTTGGACAAATGACTTTATAGTTCTTCATCCATTGATTGATAGAATGGAGCCAGGAGATCTCTTCCACTGTACGCTTGGTATTGGGGTATGAATTTTTGTGTGCTTTATATCACTTAATCCTCCCTTGAATTCTTTCAGATAATTAATACTTTCTCAAACTAATTTAAAAATGAGAAAATGGGGGTCTAGAAAGGTAGATTAACCAGCTACTCAGGAGGCTGAGGCAAGAGAATTGGCTGAGCCCAAAAGCTGGAGGTTGCTGTGAGCTGTGAC